GCGTGCAATTCCGTGTCGGTCGTCCATGCCGGGAATAGAGCACAAGGTATGCGAAGTTACGGTAACTCGAATGAAACTCCGCGCGTAGATTAATTCCTGCCGAGTGGTCATCACGGTGCCGAGCCATTAATGCAGTTATCTCGAGGACCGTGACAGTCTCTGAAAGGCGTGCCTCGGATGCAAGGAATATTACGGTGGAACAGGCTTAACGAGTTCCCTTAACAGTTTATCGGCGGACAGGCCGCTGCTTAGCCTACGATCGGTCAGCCGATCGCTCGGCCGGATTCGTCGATCGAACGGGAGAGAGGGAACGAGACCAATCGAGCCGGGACTATCCGCGATATAAATTGCGCGGATCCCTTAGGCGCGACAGCTCAACGATCGAAAACCAAAACGAGAGGAAATTCCGCGAACAGCAAAAACAAACCGAGGAGGGGGAGGAAAAAAGAAAGGAGAACCGGGTTGGGAGAGGAGAATAAGTTACAAATAACAGTCAATTAAGCGTGTCGCGAGCGGACGACTCATCGGTTTCCGGGGAAACGATCGGGCCGTATCGCGTGCGCGCTTCCACCGAGGCGCGTCCAGGAATTTTCATTGAGCCGGGAAACCGGGTGCACCTCCGCCGCGCGACGATGATAAACGACCAACGGAGGTGGTGCTGCTCCGCGCCGTGACCCGGCTTTACGACCCGCGATAAATATTTAAAGCGTCTCGCGGGGAGGACGCGACGCGTCTCGTTATCGCGTTCACGGAATCGCACGCACCGGCTATATTAGCCGCGAGGAAACGAGCCTCTCGCGCGCGCGGACCCGCCGGCGACGGCCCACGCGTCGCGCGTTCGAAATAATAAGACGCCGGCCGACGAACGGCGAGCGACGACAGCGTTATTTCGATGTCCGTAAAGCAATATCGCCGCCGCGTAAATTACAATGAGCGGGCAATGTGGCGCGCCACGGGGTCGGAGCGAGGGACTTCGCGTTAAAATAGAACCTGGAACACGCGGCGAACGGCGCCTACGATTCCTACGGGGCACCCGGCCGGCGATCGGGAGGGGCGACTTTGCTCGACGTTCCTCCGTTGGGAAATTCGAGAGAATTCTCCGAATAATATCAACGAATTGTGCAATAGTAGTTAACACGGCGATACTCGAACGCGTGGGAACAACAGTTTAACGGAAGCGTGTTGTTCGGTATGGAACGTTCCGAACGGCGTCGCGCGATTATCTCGATGCGAGTCTGTTCCGAGAAGCAATCTTTTGTATGAACGTAACGTTGATATCATCTGGAGGCTTTAATGGAGGGACACGAATATTCACGGAGGAAAAGAAAGCGGCTGTCGGTTCGATGAAATAAATCTTCTGGGATTTACCACACCCCGCGTGAGTAACGTTCATTAACTTGATAATCCTTTTTGCTTCGACTTCCAGGTACCGGCGCGGCGTAATCAACGCGCGACGAGTTACGGGAAACAGAAGTTACTCCGTGCCGCCGAAGATCCGCGTTTCCACCGCAGACATCGGCCACCCCCATGCCGTCAAATATTGATCAACGAACGGGGGAGAGAGAGGACTGTGTGCTCAGGGATTAAGTTCGCGGACCAAAATGGCTGCGACCCCGGTCAACTGGTCTCGCGGTCGCGGGAATAAAACGGAAACTCGCGCGACCGGCGAGGTAAGTGCACGGTTGATACGTTCCGCTCGGAATTCCGGATTTTTCTCGCGAATTTCGTGCCGGACCTGACAGGCTATTGCTCGCGGAGCCAATTTATTACCGATCCGGGACAGGCCGAAATTTATTATTGGCCGGCCGGGAGGGAGGCGGACGACGGGTAGAGCACGGGGATCGTATTTCGGCAAATATCGTTGCGGACGTAGTCGATAACTCAGTGATTCGTCATCGACTCCCGGCCGATAGTCAAATGAACGGGGGGAGCTGTCGTAAATCGTTGCACCGGTGCACTAACGCATAAATCAAAGCGTGCACGGCTGTCAGGTGTTCCAGGCAGACTCGTTATCGTTGCGTCACGCGTTTGATATCGAACACGCGAAAATATCGACTGGTTTCGCAACCGTCCACTTCTTTCCCTCCTTTTTCCGAGGGAACTTTATTTCAGCTAATCTAGAGCCGAGGTGAAAAATTTCGATCGGATACTAACGCCGATTTATTTCTGTCTTTGGGAACTGATCCGGTGTTGGTATGTTAATACCTGCGATTTGTTATGCGTCCTAATACCTCCGTGATAAATTTCTTAATGATAAGAGTCCGTATACTTTAGCTTCCGAAGCTCTCGTATCGATAACTTTCATCGCTGGAAACTTCAAACGTTGACCCTTTACGGACGAATGTCGACATCAGATGTTTATATTTGTAAGTCGTAGATGAATGATTTAATTACTCGAACGGCAAGGGATCAGTGCCCAGTTTCCTTTCTAATACTTAAGCAATCGATATATAATTTAACTTCATCTACCGAAGCTTTCGTATATTTCAAAGTATCCTCGTCCGCTAAGGGTTAAACTTTAATCCCGATTCATTGTCCGCTTCAATTAATTTCGGACGAACAAGTAAGTTCAACGTTAAGAACGATAGTATCGATAATTTGCATTCTTGCGAACAAGTGACGCAGGTCCGATATCCGAGGGAAAAGCTCCGCGCAGGGTGCAGCTCTGACGTTCGTCCCACGCGTTAATCCCCGGCAATTGTGCACGGTGCAATTTCATGTTTTCCCCGGGCGTTTAATGCGGCGACGAGTGCCGCGAACGGAGTAATAATAACGTGACGACGGCGATGGCGGCGGCGGCGGCGTCTACGGGCATTAAACAAACGGTTCCGAGCGTCACCGGGACGCCGGTGAAAGTACAATAGCGAGGGATATTAATGAGCACAAAAGGCTCCACCTTCGTGGCGACGCAATGCACGGTTTTTATTACGTCGTCGCCCGCGTGACTTATATTTAAACGACGCGCGGCACCGATAGCCCAGGCGTTCGTCTACATGGCGTCGTGACGCAAGCAACGCCGCGGACCGAACGGGTAGGGATAGGACGACGATTCTCGTGTCCGGCGTTATTAGCTCGAGTACCGCGGCCTGACACTTAAAATCAATTAGCGGTGCGCGTCAATTAGAAAGTCGGTCGCCTCTTCCACTGTCTCGATTTCTTTCCAGACTCGTCCCGACACAATCGTTCCCCTAACGTTCCTGCTATCGTCCGTTGGAATTAGTTGTCAACCGACTGCTGGGAATTCGCGTTGTCATTCCAGCGACAATGGATACTTTCCTGTTACTGTTCTCCGGGATATTAATCTCGAGTATTGTTCGGTAGCGCGGATCGTTAACGAGACGTACATTTTGGTAATCAACCTCTGTTAACAATGAATTTCATTTTAATCGCTTCGGAAGCACTGTTTCTTTTGAAATTCAGATGTAATACAAATTACTATGGTATATTTCCAAGTGTCACTTTATTCGGCTTAGAATTTAGAAATCTCGAAAGTTTAACCCTTTGCACTCGAGAGGCTTTCAGGCATTTGATTTGACCCATGGAAATAAAATTTAGAATTCAATATTAAATTTTTATATAATGCATCGACACATGGAACATCGAAATAAAATGGTTCTACTTAATTTATGCAAGGTATTTCTTTATGTTAGTTGTGAAACGTATCATTGATGTTTCATCGGAAAATGATGAATATTTGTCGAGAAAAATATTCTCGAGTGCAAAGGGTTAAGAGTCAACGTAGGTATGTTATGCAACAGTGACCAGACGAACCCCCATCTATCGATCCCTTAACCCCGGCCGAACGTGTTTCGTCTATTACGAGAGGTCGATTTATAGAACGTGGTCTCCCCGGATGGCCGATGGTTGAGGGGGTCGATCAAGGGGGAACACGAGGAAACGGGTTTCTCGGGGAGACAGGTGGACGCGGTTGACGACATTGCGACGACACGTCGAAGTGATCGATAGTCCTTTGACTGCGGATGAGTCTCCCGTTGGCCGGCGGAGGACTTCGTTATTATGCAAATCGAAACGGAAGTCCTTTCTCGATTCTTCCACCCGTCGCGAACCCCGTAATTGCCATCTTCCGCCGAATTTTATATTCGCGACGGCTGCATTACGTGCACGAACGAAATTAAGGGCGGACTGATGCCTTCTGGGTGGTACAATTGTCGTACTCTCAAATTTCACGATTACGAACCTCTTCCTTTACGTCGGGGATACAGGTTCGAATTTAAAACGATCGGCAGATCTTTCTCGTCGATCGAATTTGCTCTATTTTAAGGGATACTATTGCAACCGGAGTAGATAATATTTCAAGAGAATTTAAGAGGATACGGTGAACAAATATTTTGGAACAATCGAATTCCGTGCACGGCGAGCCAGTAAAAATGTTTCGCGCGAAAGGCGCACACTCGATTTCACCTGTTTCGAAATTGAAAATTGGCATCGACATTCCGATAGAGAGGATCATATTTCCAATATTTCGACAATAGTTCAATTACGAGGGACGGGGATTTTCGCAACGGCGTTGCGGTAGACGGGCCCGCAATTTTTTGAAAGCCGCTTATTCGATTTCTCTTCTAATCACTTTCTCGTTGTATTAGAATTTTAGCGTAAATTAATTGGCTGCGTCCTTATAAAACAATTCGACTCCTTTCCATCGATTCAAACTAGAGCTACCGAGCAATTCCAACGATCTATTTCTAATTTCTCAAAATTCGAAGTCTCGCGATTGATCTCGCGATTGATCTTTCGATCAAAAGTTCTCTCAAAATCTTCACAATCTCAATAATGAAACAGACATTTCTACAATCATCCTTTCAAGCCCGATAGCTCCAGTATCGATACCTAATCGTTCCTCCAATCTAAACGATCTTGTTCAAAAGACTTCTCTCCGAATTCCTAAATATAACCGACACGACCGTACGAACGGTCGACGAGCGGTATCTCGAAAATCTCGAAATGCAAACGGATAATGCAGTTAATGAGTATGCACTGACCTTGAGGAGCCTCCGGAAGTAAGGGCTGCACGCAGAGAGGACGACCTTGTGCGCGGTGAAACTGCTACTGTCGCATGCCAGTGTAACATCGACGAAATCCTCCTCGTCCCTCAGATGGCGGAATGAGCTGAGGATGCTCGAGTGGAAGTCGTTCCACCTGAGTGAGTACTGTTGCTCGCCGCTCGACGAGGACGAAGAGGCCGCCATGGCGTCCGTCCCCTCGGGACCCACGGCCGAGGGCACCAGAGGTGCTATCGTGCTCACTCTGGCACCCCACGAGGACACCTTCACTTCACCCTCTCGTCACCTTCACGCGCCCCTCTTATCCTTATCAACCCCCGTGGCCGTATCAGCTCTCTCAGCCTGGACTCGTTGTCCACGGGCGATTAGCGGATCGCTCGACCGAATGAACAATACTCCTGGATCAATGATTTCTTCCTAAACAAGGCAGCAGCGCGTCGATTCGCCCGATGTTCCCCGCTCTTCTTTCGGTGAGTCGACCTTGACCTGGTAAAAATGCACTTCTCGCGAACAATCGTATCCCTCGATAAAAATTCTTTGGTAGTTGGTTGTGTCGTTCCCTCGCGTGGTTTGCCGCCGGCGTGTGTGTCAGTGGATAGCGCTGCTAGTAGTGTCGTCCACTTGTCCCTTTCTTTGTCTTGGTCCTCTGGTGTGTTCGGTGGAAGGTTCGTTCATAGAACGGACGCGGAGTTGAACGATCTCGGTGGCTGTCAGGTGTAAGGGAGCCTCGGGCCCGACGTGGATCTCATAATAACGACATCGCGATAGCGACGAGAGGACGTTGTCCGCCGCTGTCGGGGTACGGTGAGACAATGAGCCCGCGATCGGTTCTGAAAACAATACGGCGGCTATTGTGAGCACGGCTACCCGGCACGTGACGGCCTATCGGACATTTTTGAATACCGATCGATAAACAACCGGGAGAGATTTGCGTTATTAATTCAATCTCGCTTCGCGGACTCGTCGCGCGCTCTCGGTCTACTTTGTCCCGAGATTTCGATCCTAGAAATAATTCGAACGAGAGCAACATTCGACTACGGTAAAAGTCACGCACCACGGTAAAACACGAGTAAACTTATGCAATCCGCTGCATCTACGAACTCGACGATATCGACACAAATTACCGCATAATTAACTCCTTTTTCCTGCATTACACCTTTTTCATGCCGATTTCTATAACGTCATCGGTCAGCCGAGTTTCTTGCGGCGGTCACGTAACCCTGATCTCTCGCGTCCAGAAAACGAAACATTCTTACAATTCGTAATTAGCCTTCTTATCTGGGTTCCGGGAAACAATGGATAAAAAGAGATTACGCTTCTTTTATTTGCCCGACGAGCCGGTCGATATAAATAATTCAAGAGTGCAGAAACGATAAAGGCCTGTTCCGCGGCGATTCGATAGCGATAAACCGACTCACCCGATGCGAAGACGATTGAACGGCCCCCGGACGTTTCTTCCTCCTGCTGTGCTCCCCTTTGTCCGTCCTCGTGTCACCGGCCACGTATCACTTTCCCCCGTTAAACGGAGTCCTTGCACCCTCTGCCCTGC